AAAAAAAAAAAAAGAGCAACTATTGAAAGTTTTAAACTAACCGATTTATTTAGATTCAACGTGTGAAATTACATAATTAGAATCACACTTTGACAGTCAATAATCCACTATAAATCGAAGTAAACTTACATACAGTCTAGATCCGTCTACCCCGTACAACTTCTGACCTCAATTCCTGCAGTTTGCCTTGATCCTACTAGAGGCACGTTCCTTCAAAACAAAATTTGACTCCTGATTATTAGCCCTTCTAGACTCCGTGTTTTTGACAACAGATCTCGACTTCTGGTACGTCACCTTAGTCTTCCTGAATTTGTGCTTTTATAACCACTCTTGATCCCTAGTATCGATTTATTTCTGGTGGATTAGGTAGTTTGTTGTTTGATAAAAAGATCTTGTGTGTTTTGATATGTCGTTTAATACGAAACAATATGACTTGATCAACAAAATATGTTTTAGAAGAATTTATGGATCAAGTAATATGTGGTAGTTGAATTTTGAAATCAATTTATGTTTTAGATTATCAAAAAATTGATCTCCGTGGAATAAATTTGATTTAACACATTTTGGAACATTCATAGGATAGAATACATACAGGGGAAAGTGTTGGATCGAAATAGGGATGAAAATCAGATGTTTTAAAGCAATCAGGATTCTGAACGTCGACCCGGCAAGCGACACACCCATCGCTTGAGTGCTAGTCTAGTGCTCGACGGGCTACGACGATTCTGCTTTAGTCGGTCGAGAGCAGATTGGGCGACATGCTAGCGAAATTGCATCCTACTCGATTTCAACTTCTTCAAGTCCGAATCGTGATCTTCTTCTTGGATTTCTTTTAACTTCTTTTTGGACTCTATCAACCATATACTGATTTTACCATAACTTGGACTTTGCTAATCCTAATTTGACTTTGATTACAAAATAATTAAAGCCTAATACAATTCAACTATGATATGATTTTGACAAAGAAAATTGCCAATTATATAATTTGGACTTAACAACAACTATTAACTTCACTCCCTACAACAAAAACAGCATACGACAACGTTCAATAAACGTTGCCGTAGGCATACGGCAACGTTTAGACGTATGTTGCAAATCAAGATGTTGTCGTAGAGTAGAGAGATACGGCAACGTTTTTTGAACGTTGTCGAAAGTCTACGGCAACGTTTAAAAAACGTTGCTGTAGAGATATGGCAACGTTTGACAAATGTTGCCAAAAATAGTCTTTC